ACTGGAGACCATCTGCCTCGACCGGCTGGTTGGAGGACAGGAAAGAGACACAGACAAACACAGAAGAACTGGTCCAGGACTGGTCCAACTGTATTTTCTTTTGGAAGAGGGACAAAGAAAACACGTTATTGACAGAAATAATCACAACAATAAATCTATTTCCGCCTCTTCTTTTAAGGGCTCACTGGTTATCCAGCCGTCACAGTGTGAGGGGTGGGTGGGGGACAGTGCCAAACTGTTCAACCTAAACATGACAGCAGCACTGAGACAGTTAAAAACCTTTCGGGTGTTTTTTCCTTTGTTTCCAGAGAGAAGATGAAAACGTGTACGTGGCCAGACAAGGAGGTAAGTTTCCTGTGAAGTGGACCGCTCCAGAGACCGTTACCAGCAACAAGTTCACCATCAAATCTGATGTCTGGTCCTTTGGAGTTCTGCTGTACGAGATGATGACGTTTGGTCAGGTGCCTTATCCAGGTGAGACCAGGACCCTTCACTGTGGTTGACCTGTCTCCTGTTAGACCAGGACTCATGTCCTCTGTGACTCCTCCAGATATGACCAACCTGCAGGCGGTCCAGTGGGTCATGAAGGGCAACAGGCTGCCGTGTCCCCCCAACTGCCCCCCAGCCATGTACAGCATCATGATGGAGTGTTGGAAGAAAGAAGAACAGGACCGACCCACATTTGAGTCGCTGCAGTGGAAACTGGAGGATTTATTTGACTTCCCACAGTGACTCTGACAGGTCCGAACAAAAACTGTTTCCTGTCAAAGTCACTCCAGATTCTGAATTTAACTTCTGATCTAKTGGAGGAACATTTAACTAACAGAGAACCTTTACTTCTACCCATCGTCATGAGAACTGCTCCACTGGACTGGAAGAGACACGAGTTTTAGTTGGTTTCCTTCAAACTGAAGAAACCAGTTCYACCAGTTCTTCCACACCTTCTCTCCACAGAAAGCATAGTTCAGCTCTCCTGAGAGAAGCTGCCATGTCCAACAGTCACAAAGCTGCTTGCTGGTCCCCAGTCTCTAGGTCTACAGAGACCACCAGAGGCTGAGATGACTGTCTTCAGCCCAGCAACCTCTGGACAGARGTACCAGAACCAGAACCTTTGTCCATGGTGGCTCCCTGCCAGAGGCGACTGCTCTAAGACTGCAAG